AACGTCTAACAACCCATTCTATAAAGAAATGCTTCCTAATATCTAGTCTGAACTTTCCCTGGCGCAACTTGAGGCCATTCCCTATTATCCTGTCGCTTTCTGCTAGGCTAAAGAGGCTCAAACATCTTACTGCTTGGGAATTGCTTTGTGTTAAATAGAGTCATTTAACTGAAAAAAGTTCTGCACAGATTCCAGAAGGTACTATGGTTAAGTCAGAAATCTCCATCTTGTTTTTAATATTACCAGAAATTGAAGGAAGACATATTTATTGTATGGTTCAGAGAATGCCTTTCTGTTAAAGTGGACATCAAAAGAGAAAACAGCTAAAGCAGAGATTTGCAGAGAAAAGTACTTAAAGCAATTTCCCATCATGATAGCGTTGTCCTGCTGTCTGAGCTATCTAAAGGGAAGAGAAATCTGCTTACATAGCAAATCTGTTTGGACAAATCTTTGTATGCTTTGTTAGAAGATGTTTTCACTATGTAATTTCAAGTAGGGGACAGACCAGACAGTTGAAAATTTGTAAAAGGTAATTGCCTAAACTCTTTGTGGCCTTTTACTTGCAGGACTCCAAATAGTTTTGAAAAGATTAACTGGCCAAATCTACACACACCCCCAACTGGTTTAGCACCATCATCATCTACCCCTCAATTCTGCTCATTTGACCATCTTTCTTGTCATCCTCTGCACTACAGGGAGCGATTTACACATATTCATACACAAAATTTATTAGAAAATGAAGAAAAGTTAACGAAAACTTACTGAAAATGTAGAATTATGCTTTGTCCAAGAACTGCTCCAGACCATCAAGTACACGATGAACTGTGCAGGGTCAGTCTGGCTGGAGAAGAAATGGAGCAAGCAGATGATTTACAGGCTGAAGTGTTCACTCAATTTTGCGCTTGCTGGAGCCTTCAGCACGTTTTTTGCCTTTAGGTGGCACTCCTCGCCTGCTGAAGGGAGCTGTGTCTATACAGCCCTGCAATACCACGTTCAGAGGAGAGAAAGGAGTGCAACATTAACCTGAGATAATGGACCTGATCTAACACAGAGCAGGAGCTGGAATAACCATGGTTGCCTTCTCCATCAGCTTTAAAATAACCTAATTGCACTGGACACTCTTAATTTTTTATTTTTTTTTTTTCTCCCCAGTTACTGGATGTTCCCATGAACTGGTTGCAACACAGTGGAAGTTTGATGTGGAATCACAGTCCCTCTGGGTTCAGTGTTACATAATAGTGGCAGTGATTTTTTGCAATACGTGTGAGTGTTCACCTTTGTCTATGTGCTAACTGCTTAAAAGAACAATGCTAAAAGCAATGGATAGCTTGGTTATCCTGTTAATGTGCTCATACTACTAATTAGAGCCAAAAAGAGAAATTAAAACTTCCTTCATATATTTCACAAATCACAGAACACTGTTGGCAAGTTAATTGTTTTAGCAATACATGCTGTAATTTCATTGCCATGTCCAATAACCCTGTCTTGTGCTAGTGATAAAAGGGAGTCAGAAAGCTAGAAGTGATGTAAAACAACTGTGCTGAAACCTGGCCAGCATTCTCCTGCTGACCCACCTGCAGTCACCAGCATGGTATTGTGTTGCAGTGTTCTTCAAGGAGATGTTACTTTTCTCCTTTCTGGTAAAAAAAAAAAAAAAGATGAAAGCTCTGCACGTTGCCAAAAAATTAGTGGTTTCCTTTATGCAGAAAATCACAATAATTCTTCAACTAACTGACATTTCAGAAAGACATATACGAAAAATCTCAGAGGACTCCTGCTCGGAGAAGAGTTACACGTTCTGATCTGTGACATGGCATTAAGCTTTTAAAGAAGAATTTGAAAATGTTCTTACTGCTTGGAACTCTGAAATTTAGTGGTATTCAGACATGAGGTTTGATTCCTGGGCTATTTCTCATAATGATCACCAATTTTAAAACCAGAGCTTCATCCTTCAGTCTACTCAGTTACGTGCTAGACTCTAGAGTACTTCCAATTTTACTGAAGAGAGCTTTTGTACATACTCTGATTTTATCTGTGTTCAAACCCCATTAATTCTGGATTGAGGCTGACATTAAGAAAGAGTCTCCATTCCCCCCTGAACACCTACATCCATTAATCTTTCCCTGAAAGGCAGAATGCTCTCTGGAAGACAGGTGTGTGGGGTGGGCATATTTTACAGCACCCTGTGGTGACATACCCCCAGAACTTTTGCTATTAAGGTACTTAAGGAAATTACTCATACAAAAAAGAAGAAAACCAAAAGTGAACATTTATTCTAGCTGTGATTTAGCATTCTGATGAGAACACTTTAAAAATATCCTTTACTTTCTAATATGCAACTGAACTGAAAAGGTAAGACTAGTCCAGGAGCAGAAATACCATCTCTAGAATGGCAAGGACAGATCCACCAAATCACAGGTGTAAAAATGCCTTCCAAGACAAAGAATTCAGAGGTAATCTTTCTGAACATTTGTTGATAACAAATCAAAACTTAAAGACATTTTCATAGTATCTGCCATGAATTTCTTAATCACTAACAGAGCTTAATCTTGTGATACCAGACACATCTTTACCTAGCTAGGGTTAACAGCAGGAAGGGGTCATTATACAGCTTTTTACCTCATCCACACATTAAACCATTAATTGTTCTGAAAAAAGAAGGAAGGTATTTTGTTGCATCAGCTGCTTCCTTGTAATTTCTGCCTTGTGAGTTTGTAAGAATCAAAGTTAATTCCCCTTATTCTCCAATGTTAGATGTAAAGTAGAGGTGTAAATAATTTCACACATTTCAAATTTAGCCTAGAGAAACATTAAATGCCCCTGTTGTTAGTTCCAGGCTTATCACTGAATAAAGGCTAAAATATTCCAGACAGCAACAATCAGCCATTTCCCATAATGGGACTTAACTTAACAAAAACCCTAGTCTATCCATTAAATAGACATATTCAGAAAGAGAGCTGTTTTTTTCCAGCACCCTAATTATGATTCCATATATAAATGCTCCTGGAATGTGGACAGAACATCAAACACCACTTACTCCTTCCCAGCAGTTGATTTTAGAGTAAGACAAAATACATTAGAAAATCAGTATTAATTTAACCAGATAAACTTCCTCCCTGACTCCTTACACTATACTGAAAATCATGTTTTCTTGGAAGCACAGCAGATTTGCCATTGAGGCTCCAAGCTATACAGAGGGTTTGGGAGGGCATGTTGAAAAACAAGATAATCTCAGTCTTTATCTGTAGGTCCTTGAAGAGAGTCTCAGCACAAGGCAGTGAATGGAGCCTGCAGAACTGTTGTTTTCTAAGCATAGCATGCACACAGAAACACAGCCAAAGCCTCCAGCAGAGGTTCCACAGAAGTGAAACTCTGCCATCAGACTAGAAAGTGACTCCCAAATGCTGATCAGAAGGGCCATATGTACTGTAAGGGGACTGTGAACTGATCTCAGTGCCTTTAAATGGGTCTCACAACACCACAGTGAATGTTTATTCGTTTGAACACAAAGGTTGTTCACTGACCTTCATCCCATTCGTCTGCCTCAGTGGAGAGGGAGGGGAAGTTTTGCAGAGGCATTCTGATCTCCTTCCTTCAACTCTGCTTCAGCTCAGACGATTCCATGGGTTCGCTACAGCTGACCCGTGTGCAACACATACTCCTCCTTACCAAACAGATGTCTAGGCCATCACCCAAGCTGACCGAAGAAAAATTCCAAGGCTGGTCTGTTGCTACAAAACGTACTTTCATTCAATACCAAGGAGCATTACAGATAGACCCATCCTGTTCCAATACAACTTCAGATTTTCTGGAATTTAGGACCCTGGGTTATTTGAAGCTAAATCACAGTTGCAACTTCAGATCTGGCTTTAATGATGTGTAAATCACAGAAATATGGTCATAAAAATTCTGACTCCTGAAAAGGGCAAACCTCTCAAAAAAAAGATGAATCTTCAGTTGTCTCAAAAAGTACTCAGTAAAGCTAAAAAGCTAGTCCCTATCCTTCCCATTTTTCGTAAGAATCACAAAGTTTAAACTCTCTAGCTACTGTGAATCAGAGGTTTGTATTATATGCTGTCGTTTAGCCAGTCTCTACATCTACAAACTGAGAGAGGGATAGACCTTGAAAATGGTCCTCTTTTAGCAAGTCTGAGAAAGAGTACCAGCTCTGCACAGGATGTTTGAAATGGCATTTAAGTCCCAACAACTGTAAGAATTTCTTTCTTTACAATGCTTACTAGGTGTTTTATTTCATTCTTTTCTATAGCTCCCCCCTTCAAATTGTTTTGACAGAAGGCTGTTTGTGATTTTTCTTTTCATCTCTACCCATAAAAAATCCAAACATGTAACATTTGTGTGTTGCTTGGAAATATAATGGGCACAGATAGCTGGTGCAAGAATTGAGAAAGAGCAGTTTTCCAAAAGGCAGCACCTCTCTCCTTTCTGGTTTTTTTGTTGTTTTTGTTTTATTTTTTTTTTTTCACTTGGAGTGTGTTCAACTTTGTGAAAAATCAGTCCCCAAATAGTAACTGCATTTGGTATGGTGGTTTGGTTTTGGTTGTGGTGGTGGCTTGATTTTGATTTACATTTTTAACAGGGGAAGGAAGAGATGGAAGAGGACTAGCTTTTAATTGGCAGTTTTCTTCATTCTGTCCAGTCATATGGTTCTTTTTCCCCCCAATATTTTTAGGCAGTCAACCAGAGGAATAAACTCTTTAGCTACTTAAAGAAAAAAAGTCTGAGTCTCATACGCATTAAGATCCCTATACATTTCTGTAGCGCTGTAAATGCTTCTTAAATGAATGGTGGCATTTAGGATTAAGCCTATGATGGACATCAGAAGCAGCATTAACTGGATTTTGTAATCCTGGCAATTTCCACATGTTTACAGCTTTATCTGTGTTCTCTAGCGAGGGCTGAAAGAAAAAAAACAAGAAGCCAGGAGAGTTGTACGAGCATACTTTGTATCTTCTTCATTGATACCCTTCATGCCATTCAAATAGGACTCCAGAACACACTATTTTAATTAGCAAAGCTTGTTTTAAAGTGAACAACACAAACACTCCTTATAGAACAGTCACAGTCTCCCCTGCTAGTCATACAGGCTTTTTGGCAAGATCACATTCAAACAGCATGAAATTCACCCCTGTGCACGGCCCCCCAGAAGGTCCTCGCACCGCTTGAACGTCCACTTAGCTGCTCTGGATAGGAGCGAGTGGTTTGTGGGATAAGGACCGAGGTTCACTACAACTTTCCTCAAAAAAAAGAGATGGTCCAAATCCACGTCTGTAAAGATCAGCATTTTTACCACTATAAGGTCATAAAGGTGTAATATAGGCGTCATGCATAGAGTACATACCATATTTCAGTTGAGTCCTGTCCCTGCATGACTTTGAGGCCCCGTGAAAGGACAGATACACAGCACACGTGTAATGAAGCCCTCGGTCAGTATGGTTCGCTGTGTCGTGCTGTTTACTGGGAACACTGCAAAGTCATTCAGCTGACAGGAGTCAAGACAGCAGTGAGAAGAGTATCCTCATGAGGAAGCTCTGACAGGATTCCTTTTGACACATGGGAGAACACAAGATTCCCATCTTAATTCAGTAATTGCTAAACGAACAGAAATAAAAAATCATTGATGCGACATTGACTCATAAAACACTGATGGCTGAGGCCCTGTTCTCCCCTGTACTACACACAGGGAACAACAGCTGGTCAAAGGAAAACAGGGTAGGAACAAAACAATATGGGAATAAGGTTGGTTCCGTAACAAATGTCATTACTGCAGTCCGTTTATGCTGACTGATACCATGGTGGTTCTCTTCAGCTATAACTGCGCAACAAAATCGGACATGTCTCATCTTCCAGTCTTGATATTGAACTGTTGCTGTTGTTGATTTTCTTTTGTTGGTCAAGTTTTTTCTTTTTTCTTTTTTTTTTTTTTTTACATCTACGTTTATCAACACTGATACATTACAGATCTTGTTAGTTATACTTTGAAGTCTGATCATGCAGAACTACAGGCAGGTGCAACTTAGATCTTATTACAGGATGGACATGGCAAGGTGAACAGTTGTTTTTGCTAGTTAAGATCTGGAGCTTTGTTACTGTTGTGGCTTAATGTATACTGGCCATAAGTCCCACTTACTCAATTTACTAAATATACATGATTCTATATGTACACTGAAACCTCCAGCACCCTCCTTTTCAGCATGTGACTGACATAGCAAAAGGTCAGAGGTCAACCATATTTAGGCATACAACGGCCTTATTGTAAAAGATTTAACAGAAATAGTGTGTTGGATTATTACAGGTTAGTTACAGAGGAAGGGAAAAAAAATCAATAAAACTATTTACATTATAAATATCTTGCTTTCCAGAAGACAAGAATGGCCCTGTTCAGTGAAAATTAGCAAAAGAGACAGGCTTACCTGCCTGAAATGATAAACATGGTAGGCATACATTTATTTCCGAAATTGACTGTGTCTTCCTTCAATATGTGCTTTTCAGCTTTTTGCTCTCAGGTAAAAAGGCACCATTAGCCTCAGTTAAAGTTTTTCAACATTCTTTTGTCGACTCAGACCCTCTTCAAAACTCAAACTTGCCATGGGTCAATGAGCCTGAACAGAAATTAAATTAAACAGTTCACCTCCTGCAATCAATAGTTAATTAAAAAAAAAAACAAAACCAAAAAAAAACCAAACAAACAGGCCACACTGGCAAGTTCCTAATACACTAAGCAGATTCCACTAAATTCCACTGGACAGGTCTGTTTCCAGCTCATCGGTGAAGATGACACATTCATCATTCCCCTGCCTCCCCCAAGCATCTTACTAATTAAGACATTACATATTTGTGGAATATTCAAACCTACTGCACAATAATTTTCTCTGTGTGTGTGTGAAAAAGATCAGCTTGAGCTTGCAATTAGTTAACCATGTCCTTTGTAAAGTGGTGGAAGTTCAAATAAGCACAGCTGTCAGATTCTTGAAGATGTGTGATTATGTTACGATTGCATTCTTTATCCACACTGAGAACGTGGATCAATTATGAATAGAACATAAGTTCTAAAAATCACATCTATATGCACTCCCTCTCTTTCCTACACACACATATGAAAGCAAAGAAAAACAAAAGCCTAAATTTAAAGCGAATCTCTAACTCACACTTTTTTGCCAGACTATTAAAAGAAAAGACTAATTCTTCCCTGCAGGTTTTCTTTCATATTCCTCTCCCTGGAAGCACACAGAGTTTGTTGCAAAATGCCATTTTTTTTGTTTTGTTTTTGCACATTTGAATTCACACACAATTTAAAAATCTCAGTAAGCATGAAGAAAGAAATATAGATAAAACCAAAACGAAAATATTTTTGGTACTTTGAAATACTTCAAAGTTTGTGATATAAATAAGCTAACATTGGCTATTAAAAGTGATCTTAAATTAAAATATTCCAATTACGTTTTACAATGATTTCAGGATACCTAAAATGCATTTTCCTTGGTTTGGGTTTTTTTTTAGTATTTGGGAGAAATGCTGAAACTGACTCTCTCGGGCAGTTCTAAAATTGACTGTTAGCGTATTTTTCATGAGAAAATATGTTGGTGGAAAAGAAATCACTGGTGCTCACTGACAAACATTAGAATACAATCCAAATCAGTTAAGTAGCACTACTTCAGAAAACTTCCTAAAGGCACTGCAACAAGTGTAATTTCTTCAATATCGTTAGCCCAAAGCTTGAAGCTAAAGCAAGTTATATGAAGAGAAAACCATATATATGAATTTATTCTTGGTTATAAGTTTAGAAGAGTGAAACAGTGACATGATCATCTGTCTTGTGTAATCTCTGGAGGCCAATATCATGCAGAAACTGGTGATTTCCAGAGGAAAATCATCAGTGCATTAGGGAAGTAACTGATCAGGGTTTTGGTAGCTTTTTTTTTTTTTTTTTTTTTTTATGTTATCATACTTGCACTCCAATTTAAACTCCACTATGTATAATGCAAGCTTGCTAAGATTCCTGAATGTATCTGCGCCATGGAATTCCAGATAGTATGGGTGGATTATCAACCACAGTCTGATTCGCATAAATCAGTGTGTGACCAACTCAAATATCTGAACTCTCCAAAGATTATTACATTTTAATGAAATACCATCAAAACTCGCAGGATATTATTCCAGCTATCAAGTCAGTATCCAAAGATTGATTTCAAAAATTATGGAAAATTTTTGATTCAAAGCGTGCATAACCTTGGATCAACTTGAAGTAAATCAATACTTCATCCTCATTTTTAAACTCACCACTGAGAAGAAAAACGGAGGGTCTTTTAAGAGCAATTCTGACTTTTTTTTTTTTTTCTATTTTAGTTTCTCATACTATTCAGAAGTACTCCATCTGAAAATAAAGCAGAAATCTTTTGCAGCAGCTTTCCTCTCTACCTTCTCAATGCTATTTTTTGCACCTAGTGCTCTGAGCAGCAACTGACAGTTAAGATGCTTCTGCCATTTTCCTCACCTGCTGATGGCTATCTACATGACTTAAGTAAGCCACTTGGAACAGAATTTCTGCAGGTATTCAGGCACATAAGATACCAATAGGCTTTTAAGCATATTTTCAAAAATACCAAGGTGTTCAGCTGCCATTCATGCTGATGGAGGATATGTTACTTCTGGCACGGCCCTTCTAATTGCATCTTTAGTGCCTAAATACCTTGGAACATCTGTCATAGATCTCTGACTTCCCAATTTCCTACATCTCTGTACTGGTGGCAATTATGCTTATAACTGCAAACGTCAGAGAATGAGGTGAAAATTGTTACTCAAGTACTATTTAGAAGCACATTAAACAGAGGTAGATTTGAAAGGTCACTGGCAAGAAAAATAAGAAAAGCATCTATCATTACCAAACTGAACAGAATACTGGAAAAAAAGGGGAATAGACTTTAAGAGAAGGGTATCAAAACTTCTGGAATCAGAAAAAATTTTGTTTATCTTAACACAGCTACAGAACATCCTCACTTGAATCTTTTATTCAAGAGTACATGCATTCTTATAAGGTATCAGCTGACAGCACCAGCTTCCTGACACAAAGACAAAGAATACTATTCCTGTTCGATGGTCACTACTTCAGTTTGGACATACAAGGACCAGAATTGTAAAGAACTATTGCTTTTCTTCATTGATGGCTTTTTTTCTAGTGTCCAATGTGGACAGCCCCCAGTCTCCTCCCCCAGACAGAGCCTCTCATAAAGGAGACTAACTAATTTGAGGACAAAAAGAGATGCAGTAATTCTTTTAGGCCCCATTTCAGCAAGGCACTTAAGCACATGCTGATGTCAATCGCTGCTGAGCAAAGGACAAAAGCACATGCTAGTTAATATTATGAATGCATCCCTATAGTCTCCATTAAATGTTTGTACAAGCACTGGTGCTTAGCGGAATCAGGGCTTCTGGGAATAAAGCTATATAACTTCTGTGTTGTGGGTTCATCTAGCACTGATTACTATGACATCTTCTGTGGTGACTGGTTCGCTACACAGCACTTATGAACCCAAACAAGACTGAATTATACCATGGAACTAAGCATGTTTTTTGACTTCAATACATGAAACATGGGAGATTTGTAAGCATCCATCTACTATAAATGGCTTCTCTGCTACTGCCTATGCTGCATCTCCCTAATATCACTGTCATGAGCTGTGATTATTCCAAGTTTCTATGATCTATATTTATGGTATTTTTGCAGTTTCTCTTACATACAGCTTTGCCTCTCTGAGACACTTTCGTTTTGTTTTGTTTAAATAACACACCCAGGTGCTGCACACAAAGGAATGTAAAGCAGATACTAATTACCTGAATATTATTAATATATATCTATGATTAGTTAAATCTGGAGGTGATACATTTTATTATTGCTAAGAAGTCACCCTTGGTGTTATTGCCTTCATACCTACAGAGCACTGGTGTTTACCTTTCAATACTTTCATGATCATCGGCTTTGAAGAGAGAGTTACATCACAATTACTTTATATTTCATGGCTTAAGAGAGAATATTGCTAAATATTTTTAGCAGTAGTAAATTATTGCTTTTACAATCACTGCTCTGACTTTTTAGAACATTATCAACCTAATTTAATTATCAAAAAACTTTCCATAAATATCTACCAAAAATATACCTGGGGAAAAGAAACATTTCCTACAGCAATTTTGAGACAGTTCAGACCTACCAAGTCTGAAATTATTTTATATCCACTTAATTTTACCTCCCCTCCTCCCCACTCTGGAGAGAACTTTTTTTTCTTTACTTTCCTCCTTTTGACCAAAATCTGACTTGTTACTCGATTTTTTTCCTACCACAGAATGGCAGGCTTGCAAGCCACCCAACAGAACAGTCCTATTTGGGTAGAATTTTGAATAATAAGAATTAGGGAATTTAAAATATCCAGTAATATATTCTAAACAGTTTATCTCTGACATTTGGAAAAAGCATTAGAGAATGATTTAGCTCATTTCAGTTTACATGGCACGCTTTGGTAAGAGGAGAGATAACTCAGACTGTAGTTAATTTCCAACTCAGGTAATGATGACGCTGCAGTGGAAAATGCTAGTTGCTGTTTTGGATGGAAAAATATTCAGTTGTTCTGAAATTCTGTGTGGAGTTTTGCCATTCTCTGGTAAAAACACTTGCTGTTACTTACCACTGGGAATCCTACATAAAATCAAATTGATATTCAGTCACTCTTGGTTCTTTGGAACTTGTCAAACCTGCCCAAGACCCCTGATTGCAACGCTTTCAGCCCAGCGCACTAGCTGATTTATATCTTCTGCTGTTACTTTGGATATAGGAATACTAGACCAATGCATTCTGTGGTTCTTTTCCATGTTAACACAGCTGATTAAAACTTCCTGGGGAGTCAGATGATATGTCACAAGCAAATGAACAACCAAAGCACCTAGAGAAGGCCTGTTCTCTTGGTAGCAGAGATCCCTGCAAGGAAACAATTTAAAGGGAAAACAACCTCTAAGCCACAAACACAGACTGAGAGGGAGCAGGGCTGCAAATATCCTTTCTCTATGTAACTTAGTAAAAACCTAGACATAAAATAAAAACAAGTTGTTGCATGTCCTTTTGATCATAATCTGCCCATTCCCCAACCCTATCATACCCCCTAACATATTAATACAAGCATACATGTAATTCAGAATAGCGAGCCTGTCTATGAACTAAGATGGTAACTCACTTGACCTTGTCAGGAAAAATTGCTTACTGACATAAATCTTTCTGGGCTTAGACATGCATAAAACCCCTTCTTTCTTGTTCCCTGTAGCTTGCAAAGATACATGTGCTTCCTTCTAACCTGGTCTTAGCTTGGCGTATCTGCTCTAAAAATCAGAACAATAAGTCTTAACATTCACAAACAAACATTTTTCTATGAAGCTCTGTAGCTTCTTCTTTCAATACAAACTGGTTATTATTTCAAAATATATATACAACTCTCAGCAGAAATTTTGGTGCTACATCTTCAAGTATCTGAGGGAGCCACAATTCAATGTGGTTATTTACACTTCCACAAATCCTCATACAAGATATGCAGCCTCATCAATGAGCAAACAAACAGAATATATACTGGTAATATCACATTAGTGATGCAGTTCACCTGAAATGGGCCATTAAGTTGAGTGCACACTAAGTATGAATGCAGATGTGCATGTTCCAGTAGGTACACAGCTGCATACTCTGCCAGAATTGTACTGGCACGTGTGTGTATGTGCTATTCGTATATGAACAAAAATGCGATTATATCCCTATCTGCCTCACTGGGCAGAAGATGCCAAAACAGAGAGAGTGAAGGCAGATGCACACTCCAATGTTTGAGAGTGGCTACTGCACACCTTGTCATGCCAGTGTGAAAAGGACAGTTGCAGGTTGCTGGTTTTGCAGCCATTAATTTTACATCTTATGGGGAGGGGGTAAACAAAAGGATTTTTCAGTTCCTTTTTTTTTCCCCCAGAGTAAGCATCATTGGAAGAAGACCAAAGCAGAGCAACTATAAGTTAAATATACACTTGAGCTTAGCTGCACTACATAACTCTGTAGGAGAAGCAGGCTGAAACGATTTTTTTTGTTTGTTTTGTTTAAATCTTTGTACTTTATTTCTCTTCATCTCTTAACTCCTGTTAATTTTTCCTCTTAAATTACATCATCCTCTGAAGAACGCTGGGTTTCGCAGGCAGGCGGCTAGTCACCTGCAACAACCGAGGGGTCCCGCAGAAGCTTCCAGGCTGCTGTCTGTGTCAGACGCCAGAGTTTGATCCGTGGACATGGATGAGATGTCATTGACAGATGAGGATGGAGGGAGGCTTTCACTGCTGTTCACTGCTGCACCTGTGCTACGAAAATGAACACCAATGTGATTAAACCTGAAACCCCAGAACTCCTCACAGTTTAAAAAGGAAACGATACTTACCCTGTGGCAACAGGAATGTAAGTACACAGACCACTTTAAACAATTGCAAACATTAGCCGTCAAACTTTAGAAATTGGATAATATCAAATATGTTAGAAGGAAATTCCCTCCCTCACAGCCTAATTTAGGAGGTATAGCTCATGCTGTGTCTATTACTCCACTTCTTCCTAGCCTTCTTGGAGTTACAAAACACCAAACAATCCGATATCTGCTAGGATCACACAGGCACCAACAAGATGATTAGAAAACCCAACCCAATCCTCCATACTCTCTCATAAAATCCCAGTTTTTTTGTAAATAGTTTAGTAGAATGGGTGGCATCAAATCACATAGTGGCAATGCAGATATGGCTGATTTCTTCCTCTTAGTTAACGACTAGGTGACTAAGCCCAGGATTTCAGTTTTGGCAGTATTTTTGTGCATCCAAGTTTACCTGTCTTCTATAAAATGACAAATAGTACCAGATATTGTCCAAAAAATCACTTTGACTTTGTGAAACAAAGAATGTACTTTCATGAGATTATCACTGAACTCTCATCAAGTTTGCTGACAACACCAAGCTGTGTGGCGTGGTTGACACGCTGGAGGGATGTGACATCCAGAGGGACCTGGATAGGCTGGAGAGGTGGGACTGTGCAAAAGTCATGGAGTTCAACAAGGCCAGGTGCAAGGTCCTTCACGTGGGTCGGGGCAATCCCAAGCACAAATACAGGCTGGGTGATGAGTGGATTGAGAACAGCCCGGTGGAGAAGGACTTGGGGGTGTTGGTGGATGGAAAACTGACTGTGAGCCAGCAATGTGCGCTCGCAGCACAGAAAGCCAACCATGTGCTGGGCTGCATCCAGAGCAGGGTGACCAGCAGGTCAAGGGAGGGGATTCTCCCCCTCCGCTTCGCTCTCGTGAGACCCCCCCTGCATTGCTGTGTCCAGCTCTGGGGCCACCAACATCAGAAGGACACGGACCTGCTTGAGCAAAGCCAGAGGAGACCACAAAGATGCTCGGGGGGCTGGAGCACCCCCTGTGAGGACAGGCTGAGGGAGTTGAGGGGGTTCAGTTGGAGAAGAGAAGGCTCCGAGGAGACCTTATAGCGGCCTCCCAGCGCTTAAAGGGGCTACAGGAAAGATGAGAGGGATTCTTGATCAGGGGGTGTAGGGATAGGACAAGGCGTAACGATTTTAAACTGAAAGAGGGTAGATTTATTAATATGAGACACTGGCACAGTTTGCCCAGAGAAGCTGTGGCTGCCCCCTCCCTGGAAGGGTTCAGGGCCAGGTTGGACGGGGATTTGGGCAACCTGGGCTAGTGGAAGGTGTCCCTGCCCATGGCAGAGGGTGTGGAACTGGATGATCTTTAAGGTCCCTTCCAACACAAACCATTCTGTGATTCGATGATTTATCACATCCCTGAATATTATCAGAAACTATCAGTCCTATACATGCCAATAACTGTGATAAATACAGAGCCACGTGAAGAATGTACTTAATTGTGCATCTGTGACTGCTCAACCATCAGTTTGCTCATTAACCTCAGCTCATATGTAAGTTCTCAGAGTAGGAAACAACAATTTGATAGGCATTTTTTCCACTGAACTTTCAGGCAACATTTTGTTTCCACCAGAATTAACACTGTCTGCAGTTTGAGAGGGATACATTAATTTTCATTAAAAATTAATGACAATAAATTACGTGATTTTACATGATATTGCACAGCTGGAAATAGTTGCTAGTCACCATGACACACATCTTTGTTCTGCAGATAGATGCTATTTCATTCTTATGTCCAAGAAGTTTTCTCAGCTGACTGATACAGATTTTCATTTCCTCAAAATGCACAGAAATTTACATCTATTGCCTTGGAAAGCCAGAGAACACACCTAATAAAACACACCTAGTAAAATTACAAAACTCATATATTCTTAATATAGAAATTAATAGCCATCTATGCAGTTTAGGCAAAATACATGATGATATGGGCAAAAAAGGGGATTTTTGTCACTTTCCAGTTTGCAATAAAAACATTAGTTTGAGAAAACAAGCCACCATATCATACCTCCAACCACTCTTCTATTTCCCTCAACTTTTTCTTCCCTTTATACACATTGCTATTAAATATGCACAGAGACAGATACGTTCACATTCAGAGCTTCTGACGGGAACTGCTTTCTGCTGTTGTAGTAGTACAAAGATAATCTGGCTTCAGAAAAACCCTTAAATTAGTTTACCATTGTGATATGTTTGGAAAATAAAATAGGTAATTTTGTAAATGCTGCAAAAGAGCAATCTCAACGACATCTCACTGGTGACTTCAGACAGCAATCATCCATCTTTTCTGAGAGAAGATTTGTTTTTCTGAGTTATTTACACATACCTCATTCATATTGATCGGTAATCATCCAGTACAATACTGTTACTTCATGTTTACATGTTATTAAACCATGTGGCATTTTATGAAAATACTAAGTCATAACAAATGCATTTAAATATAGTAAAAATATGACTGCGTTTAATTATATCAACGACTAAACAATATATTACCTTTATAAATGTTTACAGTGCTGGCAGAAGCCTGCCTTTAAGTCATAGATAGTGTCTCAGGAATCAAATGAAAATAATCCCAGTAGGTTCAATCGATTTTTGATCAAACTGTTGCTATGCAGCTTTCTTTGATGAATGTGCGATCAGCTTAGCTGCGCATAATAGCTGAAAAAATAGCTGCAGAAATTGTATAGGTGAAGATTTTGTTATGCTCTGTCTGATTCATCACCACTGAATTCAATAAACCCTGCTACATTCATTTCAGCAAGTATCAGTGCAGCCCATAATCTTCTGGTATCAGTGCATTTGTATGGTTGTTCCTAGATTCTAGCACAATTCAGTTTGACACGGCACACAGACCTGATAGTTACTGTTGCAGCCAGAAAGCGCCCAGACTCACAAAATACCCACAAAACCAAAAACCCACACCAAACCTAAATGACAGAATTCAGCAGCAGAAGGCAGAAATTAGGCAGCAACACTCAGAAACTCAATCAAAAGCTGTCCTAGTCAATCAGTAATGCTTCATTTGCTACACTCGGCACCTGCCTGGTGCTACGACTTGTTCCTAAAGGGATGGGTACCAGGTGAACGTGCAGAAATGACAGAGGTGCATTCAGAAGAGAAAAAGAGCCCCATTAATGAATTTGCTGTTTGGCAGGAAGCTTCTCGCTGGCTGCAGGGTTGAGGAAAAGAGCCAAAGGTTAAAGCAGGTGAGAAACAGTTCCCGGGGTCTGTTCCTGTCTCTGCCACTGACTTGACAGCTACTCTTTTAAGCCACACTTCAGCTACCCTGCTTACTGTAAAGCAGGGATTCCTTCCTCAGAGGGCTCCTGTGAAGCCCTATTTAATTAGCACCTATGGAGGTGCTTTTAAGACTTCAGCTGCAAAGTGGTGCAGATGGTGGGGGAAAAAACTTAAAGAACTGCAGCTTCAGCTGTTTCCAAAAAATCCTTGTGTCTTGTCTTGGGGATTTGCACAGCTTCTTATAAAAGTCATGTAATTAGTAACTCTTGATATCCAACATTGCAATGCTTGGCAAGTCTATTAGCTGCTTAATTTAGGCTCTGCACATGACAAAGTGGGCTACTAAAGGTATCCAGTAGTTCTTGGGTGATAGGAACAAAACTGACCAAATCAGACAGCAACTAAAAGTCAGGAAGGGAAAAGTAAAAGAGCAATTTTCAGCAAGAAAGGGAACTGCTAAGAATAAGCTGCACTAAGATCAGCACTATTATATTAATTTATATATATATGTATGATGTATTATGAATATGGAATATCTAATAATACATAATATAAAATATATAATATATAATAATATTATATTCAGTATCCAGAAATTAGAAGACAGTTGAGAATGTTAGATATGAAACTACAGCTGAGTAGTATGAGAGGAGGTTAGAAGGTATGCAGTGTCAGAGCAGAGAAAATCTGCAAATAGCTGCAAGGTTATTTACTTTGGAGAGAACTTATCTAAATAATCTACAGCCTTGTATTAAATTTTTTATTTAATAGAAATATCTGCTGTTTGATAATACCAGTCAGAAACACTCTTTTAAATGCATTAGCCAAATAGAAAACAGTATTGGTAAATTCCTACCATATCTTTGCATAAAACAATTTATATCCTTTGCTTCTCTGCTTCAGAAATGACCAAGCAGAAGAGCCCTGAGACTGCTTGTGAAAAGTTCTACTGCACTTCTTGGTAAAGCAAGCAATTTAAAAGGAATAATACATCTTCCGTGGAACTCAGAAGGAGACCTCAACAGAAGATGCACATATATATGTGTGATAGCCATATATAAATGTGTGTATTTTGGAGAGGATATAGACATATGAAAGGTAAGTATCTCCATGGTATAAGGATGTGAATTAGTCAACAATCCCGGAGGTTGAATAAATGTAGTGGCTGTTTCTCACATGTATTGTTGTGGCTGAGTTCCACTGAGAAAACATTTTTTTAATCACTTTTATTCTCCCAGCCAAGAAATTATATGGATGGGACCTATGAATAGTGAGCATGTTGGTAAGGAGTGCAGCATCTGAATGTATAAATAAAACAGAGCTATTTAGCAATTCTGTGGCATATAAAGAACAGAAAAGCAAAAACTGCCATCTAAGATCAAATTCAGTGTTTATGTGTGTATGTGGTCATGCATATGCTGTTTGCATATGTTGCTTACATATTTATGTAACACATATGCACACCTACATGCAAACCTTTCCACACAATTCAGCACTACTAGTGTTTTAAACAGATAGGTTCGGACACTGTGATCTATGAAAGGTACAAGTCAACTAGAGAAAGCATAGAGAAAAGCAGTAAGATTGAAAGATGTGGGTAGTAAAGTTTAAAGGAAGACTTATTAGAGACGCGATAATGGAATTTATCTGAGCTAAAAGCTGACAGAAAGAAGGATGAAGGAAACTGTTCTCCATGTTCTCTGAAGGCAGAACAAGAAATAACAGAATTAAACTCCAGCAAAAAAAAAGATTGAGGCAAGACAATACTAAAAGCTTTTTGGAAATAAACAAGGTAGCATACAGAATTTTTTTTGAGCAGGCAGCAGAAGCATCTCTTGGGAATATTTTTAGACACAGTTGATTTTGTTTGTTAGACATGAGTGTGGGGGGCACTTGAGGTTCCCCCCAAGCCCCACATTTCAAATTTGTATGTTGTATGAGCTAATTATTTACAGGACAAGAGGAAGCACTAAGTGACTAATGCTCTGATACACAAGCACTTTAAGTAGTCTGCTCTATCAGTGGGCAACTGTTATCTTTGGTGCTGCCAACTTCAGCTGTCACCCCAAAAGCTCTGATCAAGTAATCACAAAAACTCATCTCCAGCTTGCTTGCTATGATTATTGATAGAATGCCATATTCTGACCTTCTGAATTCTTGCCAAGAGCACCAACCAACAAGCAATGTGCATGTAGTCTCCCTCGTTTCCCTCATGCTCAGAACTGGTGACTCATATTACCTCATTCTTTCAGTATTCCATTCAGTTGAAAAAAATTAAGTCAGGTGCACAAGTGGTGAAAAGCAGGAAATCTATCTAACCAGCCTCATCTCAGAGCAATTTTTAAATAGTTGCTATACTTGTTGGTGCCTAACAATCCAAAAACAGTCAAAGGAGAACAGCAAAAGAAAGGCAGGTAAGAAATGGCAATTTTGTACATTTGAAAATGTTTTATATAAACAATAAAAACTTCCACATTGGAGAAACAGAACACGGAATACATAAAGAAATCCCTGGATAGTTAATTCCTGAAAGCAGCAACTACAGTGTGTTTCTTGATCATAAATCAGACTGCAACCACCATTCTGTAGGGGAGAGAGATTTAAGAATGAGGATTTATCAGGTACTTGTCAGGCCCCCAAATATCTTCTCCGTTGTAGTACAGTAGTATAGTAAATTTAGTGTGCAAGTCCTATACATTGTTACTCAGCAAAAATGCGGTGGATTGTTTTCAACATCTTACTCCATCAATGTCAAAATTCAGTTAGTAAAAATTAGTGCTAGCACTCTAATATTACCATCCAGCACTATTAACTTCCTTCACTGTTGCCATGTTCCCCCTTGTCCTCTCAGTTACTAATGATGCATTCTTGTTCTAACATTAGGTTAGCTCAGCAGCAAGTGAAAAATGAGAATGCAAAAAAATATGTCTCTGAAAATATGTAGAGAACACTGAATTAAATGACTTTACTCTGAGGAAAGGCTCTGCAGAAGGTAGTTTTACCTATAAATACTACTGGAACACTGTGCTCAAAATCTGGGCACTTCAAGCCTGCCAGTGAAAGCGTACCTTCACAAATAGATATTTCTGTGTACGGGCAGCCACAGTTTGCATTTCTGTGAAAAGGCCACTGATGTGAATTTTCCTCAGATAAAATTCAATTGTGGGGTTTTTGTGACAGGACTTTAAGACAACTTTCCCTTCTTTCTGAAGTGTCACCCAAGCTTGTCAGCAAGCTGTTGTAATGTTATCCGACTTCTGAAAGGACAAAGTACCATAGTAGGTACCAGATGCTTACACCAGGGGTGCAGTGTTGTGTTTCCAATAGATGGATGCGTGCTTAACATCACCAATTTTGCTTATACCAACTTTGCTATATCAACTAGTATTAGTTCAGTTATGCATCCATAAGCAGTATAATAATAATAATAATAAGTGTGAGATAAGCCTACCCACCCACAGGAATATAATTTCTAATCACAGATCTTTCCATAGCAAATACCAGACAGACCAAATTTTAACTAGTAATATGATGCTGGAGCACAATTAATCAAGGTCAACCCACTAGAAGCACTGGATTTCATAAAAACTTTTAAATTGATCTATGTATGATAACTGCAAGTGTAGCCCAAGTGCTTCAGCTTTCTCCATTCTCTTTTTGTCAGTAGTGAAAACATATCAAAGTTATTCAATGGGGCTGAGTACCTGAAGGAGAAGGCTGTCCTTTTACTACGCCATTTTTTGTCTTTTCTTCAGAATTCATTACTTCTTTGTAGATGAGTTCTGGAAAGCAGAATTGTAACAGTTACAAACAGGAACCAGTGCCTGGGATCAGGAACAAAACAACTATCATGAAACACAGTGTCATATCAGCTCCTGAGGTCTGCCCTGTCTTGTCTTCACACGTCTGACAGCTCTACTTGCCTAAGACCTCTCTCTTTCATTCCCCTCCTCTCCTCTTCTTGGAGCTAAATTGAGAAAATACGGTTAAACTAGAACACATGAATTGTTTAATTCCACACTATCTAGAAATGAAGCAGCGCAGTAACACAGTGCTTTTTACTGTGAGTAAAATTCTGATGTATGATCCTGCTGAACAGTATTCTGTTCTCCAGATGATATCTTTGAAGCATTGGAATCTGCACCTCCTGTGTTAACATTAACCTGCATAGATAATGATAGTCCTCAGGACATTTCCTAGATTTTCCCTGCCAAAGCATCAGTTCATAGGGCTAGTGACAATTCTTCATGTTAAAGAAATTCTTTTAGTTTTACACAGACATGCTTGGTGGTGAGATGTGGCCATTTTGCCACTGAAATACGCCTTCCCATGTAATTCTAAACTGAGATTACCTTTCCATTCCTCGATTGTATGTTCCCTTTCATCCAGCTGTTTATCATATATCTGAGGAGGAGGCTGCAGGACAGAAACAAAGCTCTTTAGTTGATTGTCTGTTATTTTGTAAATAGGAGTAATTGTTTAAGTAAAGATAAATTCTCTTCTCCCTCTTTGTTATCCATCCTGTACATGCAAAACCACATGAAACACATTTGAATGTTAAAAGAATTAACACTTCTGGAATTCAACTCTTTATGTAGAAGAAATCAATATACTTCTTCCTTTTCCTCTTTTAAACGAGAGGCATAACGGCAGTTGAAATAGAACCCAGGACAACAGTGCCATTGTGTTTATACAGAGCTCAAAACTTGACACACATTGTTTGCACTGGCAGAGAAAGTACTGTCAGAGTACCAGACAAATACCAATCCTGATTAATTAGTAATATTACTATATTAATTTTTAAGTTGCCCTTTAGACATCATACTTGCTGCTATAAAAACTTTTCAAAGTAACTCTAATTTTGAAGTAAATCTCCCTGCCAGAATTTCTGATCCACGTTCCAAATTCCCAGGCTTTCCAGTATGTATATTTTTAAGTAACTCTGCTTAGACCAGAAAGGTGGGGTTTTTTTTCTTTAAATTGTAATTTTTTGTTGATGAGAATATCACAGAAGCAGCAGATCCTGGAATTTACTAAGACAAAGGCAACTAGAGTGTCTGAGAGCCTGAATACCTGCTTTCATTGGGCAACTAAGCCATGTGTTCATGGTCTCTCCTGATGCTAGCTGCCAAATCCAGCAGCCAGGCAAGGCAGAAGGCTCTCTCCTCCTTCATTCTACCAAGAAACCTCACCATCTGAAGTAAAAGTATCTAATGAAGATGGAAACAAGATCTATGGTACTTTTCTCACTCATAAGTATTTCCTCTAACTTTCATCTTGGCCACTCGGCCATTGTTTCCCTTTCAAAGCATCCTACTATTAAGTGCACATTCACCAAGTTGTTTTCTGATTCAGTACGAAGTTGAGAATTTGCTCTCCAGACTCTTAGCACCATCAGTCCATTAAGCTATTTGCATGCTACAGATACAACTGGAAAGTAATAGCTCAGTGTCATAATATGGATCAGGAAAATTATGATAGCTGAACTGGACAAGTCCACTGAAAAGAGAAGTTCCTGAAGAGTCACAATTGTATCAGGGCTAAAGGGAATTAGGTGAAGTCCTGGATTGCCAAGTCTCATACCTGAGAAGGTGCCGAGAGGGAACCTGAAACATATGCCATGAGTTAAAGTGAGTGCCAGGCCTCAGCAGGGTTACCTGAGGTTTCGCTATGTCAGCAATGTGAGACACAACGACGCAATAAGTCTGAGTCCAAAACTAATGCAGCTGTTCTCTTACTCAGAATAACAACACTTCTCGGTCCCTTCTAGTCAGTCCTGAAGCTTAAGATAGATTCAACCAAAATCGATGCAATCTCCATGGGGACTCCCTGTTTCTGCTGGGAACTGAACACTTGCAAAAGAGCGCAGGTGAGCCTCACCACTGACCACTGGGATGAGGCAAGTAAGCTCTGCTCCTTCAGCTGAGCCTGCTGGACTACTGCTCAGCCACTTGGCCAGCATGTATTTCCTGCTGAGGGGGAGGCAGAGGAAGCTGGACAAGACAAAAGAACCCAGGGGGGGCTAGGAATTCACAGGAGACTTACAGGGGCTGGCTCTTGGCTTTTATGGTAGCAAGTAGGGGAGGCATTTGGCTGAGTCTGAATCACAGCAGCAGACCCACTGCTTCTTTTCTGTCAGGTAGAAGAAAAGTATTAAACCAAGTTGGACAAAAATATCCTGAAAGTACCTTTCTTTCTAAAATCTTCAGGGAGGGGCTTACAAAAAGCACAGGCTATGGATAAAACTGCTTCTACCAAGCATAAACACTCTTTTTACATTTTCCAGATAAAAACAGGGGTACTTCTCCCCCAACCAGAAGTAAGAGGATAGATTCCTTCACTACTTCAATTCCCAAACACAAATTACAGAATCAAAAGGAACAAATGATCCGATGCACATTCCTGTCCTCAGTTCACACGAGCACAAAATCTTTGGTTTATGTCTCTTCTAATTTATTTCAGCTATGTCTTAAGCAGGCATAATTGGCTAACAGGCAACAAGAAAAGCAGCAGTGATTATTTCCTAGATTAACACATTCTTAAAACACAGACATGTTCCAGGGAGAGAGCCCAGAATAGTCTCATTTGTTACCAAACTCCTGTTTTGCTGTGAAGACGATCAAGGGAGAGCAAACAAACTCTGTACTTCACACACCACAGGATGCCAGAAACTGCACCTGCACCACGTTCTACTGCTGTACCAGTGTTTATAGTGCAGACCTTTATTTGTGAGCTAGTAGAACCCACAGCTATAAAGCATGGCTCTCGGCAGGAATGTGAGAGCCAAGGGTAACAATATTCAGCGTGATAATGACATGAATAAATCCCTCCTCTTCACATAGGCAGGATCTATAACCTCTAAAGCCTGTGCAGAACTCAGGTGAGTGGAGCTCTGCTGAGAGGCCAGGGCAGCTATCTCGTGCTGGGAGAAGCGAAGCTTTCCAATCTAAATTCCCTGAGACAAGAAATGAGCCCTTATGTCCTGTTTTCATTGATTCAAGGCACAGGCTGAACTGTGAATGCTACAACAGTTTCAGGAATTAATGTATTTTTCCAAGATCCTCATTAATCCTAATGAGAACCACAAAGCTTTGTTATCAACCTAGATAATCCCCTCCAGGCTGACCACCCATTTTCTGCTAACTCCTTTGTTTTGTTTTGTTTTGTTTTTTTAATTAGTTTCTAAAACTAGAGGGAGGAAGAGAGGTTTTTAACACAAGTGTTGTCACAGCAATAGAGCAGACAAAGCAACTGCCATCCCTGGGTCCTCCTTGGCACCCGATTTCAGTCTCGGTGGAAAGGTTGGCCTAAAAATAACTTTGCTGCCTAAGTCAAATGCCTCTGAAAATGACTGAGTTCATCATTATTAATTTTCTATGTGGATACAGCTGCAGTATTGTAGACATCCTTATAAATCAGCACATCCCAACCTATATGGTTTAGTTTGTACACGTTTCAGAAAAAGTATAGTTAAATTAGCATTAAATCAAAGCAGAGTGTGGATTAAGCCTATGGGTGGCAGCATCTAGCTTCAGTTTCAGGTAGCCATTTTCTCCTCAAATCAGATTGATTTGTAAGCAATTGCATTGGCACCAGTAACAAAGAATAGAATATATTTTTAGATGTAGAAGGAATGAATTATATTTTTCTTGAAGATATTAATACCTTGTTGTTTTAGTGGTTCTTTGCTTTTACATTTTACAAATGGATTTTAAAAATATTTCTGCATTATACTTAACATTCATTGAATACAATAAAAATTACAAAAAACTCCAGAAGACAAACATTTTTCTACAAAAAATTTAAAAAGCGAAACACACAAAAGATTGTTTTTTTTCATGTGGTCAAATAAACATCAGGAGACTACTGGATTTGTTAAATATCTTTCTAATATCAAGGGATGAAAAGCTTTTCACTAAGGAAAAAAGCAAAACATATGTTGAGGCTGATGTATTCTCACTTTCTCAAAGCAACATGAAATCGTTTGTATGCCACTGCTAGAAAGCAAAGGGAATGGGCTGGAGCTCACACTCGAATAAATGCTGCCATCTCTTTCCCTCCCTCTGCAGAGATAGTGCCAGCACAGTGAAGACCTTAGGATGAGCTGTTTTTAGAAAGCTTGGCAGAAGCAAGGCTTGCTTCTGCATCTGTTCCCAGCCTCGCAGGGTCTGGAGTAGTAGTTGTGGAGCAGCATACATGGCACCGATAGAATTAGCAATATACAAATAACAGAGGCAGTGGAGGCTGTAAAGATCAGTGGTGTGAGGCTAAACAATTGCTTAGATCCTCATAACAGGTGAGTATAAAAATTCCTTTGTGTTTTGCTACAACATAGATTGTCTAACTGGTACCATTTATATATTTATTTTTGCAGTGCAAGCCAAAGTACACCAATGTGCTGTCACCAGAGGCCTGAATTCTTTTTTAGCTACAGAGGAAAGTGCCAAGGGCCTTGGATTTCACCTGGTATTGCCCAGGGACTCCACAGTGGGCTGGGCATCATTTCAACTACAGATATGGAAGAAGAGATGCTTGTGTGCCCATTTGTTCCTTGGGCTCTTTGTAGAGTCTTTTGGAAAATCCTACACAAAGTATATATGCATCAAAGAAACTGTGGTCTGAGCTGTTTCTGAACAACTGTACTGTAAGGATACCATGCAGCAGGAGTCAAGATTACTTGGCTGCACACACATGACTGAACAGCTTGCAGATATATACAACAGCAAGCTGAAAAAAGCTTTAGATAGGTTTGGAAAAGAAAAAGAAGAAATGTCTCTTTTTTTCTCTAAGCACTACTTCTCACTGTCATTAACAAAGATTGCTGCAAAAGCTGTGTTCAGCTCCCATAATTAATCAGCTATAAATGGATGGATGTTGCTGACTAGAAGAGATACCCATGCTTGTGTACAAAGTAGAGCTGCAAACTTCTTTGTGAGACAGCAGATGTGCACCATCGGCCTCTAAGGAGAAAACCAAACCCTGTAACTGATTGCTAAAAAACCACAGTGGCAGATCACCGTAGAGTTTAGATACAACATCTATACACATGGGGCTGAGCAAGAGAAAAGAATGCCAGAAAAGACACATGGTTTGACAGCCTTGATTTTGCCATGAAGATTCACAAGTAGTGAAGGTGACACCTTCATTGAAGTGTTGGTTGCCAGGGTCACAGAGCTCTCCAGAAGCACTTCTCCATCATCCTGGATGTTCAGCACTCACAGGTAAAATAAGAGATGGGTGATTATTGTTTTTTTTTCTTATGACAAACTATGAAACTTGAAATTAATTTGAACAGATTGTATTTAACAGCTGCTCATAGGTAGTTTATAAAGGGCTAAGACAATACAGCAGTAGTTTCTGTCCTGGATGGGACCTCAGACTGAGAACTGCAAACCAAGCTCTTTTCATAAGCATTG